GCTTTCTTTCAGTGTCAGTGGGGCGCGCCTTCCAGCAAGCCCACTCGTCTGGTCTGGAGTGGCCTGGAATGGGCAGCGGCCAAGCTGTTTGTGGGTGTGCCGACTTTGGGTTCTGATGGTCGCTACAAAGGCCCGCTGCCTCCTTCTTGCGGTCATCGTCATGCTACCCGTCTACTGGGCAAGGATGCAGCTGGCAATTGGGCCACCGCCTCAGCTGCCTATCCGCTGCCGATGTGCACGTGGCTTGCCAAGAGCATGCTGCGCCTCTTTCGCGCTGATGGGGGTGAGGGCGCTTCTGCTCTTGGACACAGAGATGAAAACCCTGCTGATGGGGGTGGGGGCGCTTCTGCTTCTGGACACAAAGATGATAACCCTGGGGGTGGGGGCGCTTCTGCTCCTGGACACAGAGATGATAACCCTGAGGACTCGGATGCTTCCTCTGAGGAGTTGCCTGCGAGCTTCGATCTTTCCTCTTTGCGTCTTGTGGCACCTGCAGGCAACCTTCCTCGCGTGGACCAGGCTTCCGATGCGGAGAAGTTTGCGGTGCGTGTACTGGGAAAGGGGAGAATCACGCTGGGAGAGTTTGATATGCTGTGTGGTTTGCTTCCTTCGGATCCCGAGTCGCGGGCTACGTCGGGAGATTTCACTTCGAAGACTTTCATGAGTGGCATGTACCAACATGGGGGAGTCATCGGTCTTCGCACACATATGACAAGCCACCCTTGGACCACTGCAGTCCTGTGTGCCATTCTCAGGGCTGCTTTCCCGGTGCAGCCGTTCACTTCAGTGGTGGTGTCGAGGAACCGTCAGATCGTCCCCCACCGTGACAGTCAGAATGGCGACTACACCTGGAATCTTTTGGTCCCAGCCTCCCGCTTCTCTGGGGGGGGGGGGTCTGGCAGGAAAGCGAAAATGGGAAGGAGCCGATGGAGTACGAGGGTGAAACGCGCTGGGGAAAGATCCTACCGGTGGCCACGGGCCCTCAACTACTCGACCCTCGACGTCTTCATGCAACCATGGACTGGAAGGGTGTGCGCACAGTTGTCATCGGGTTCTCGATCCGGGACCCCGAGAAGGCGAGCCGCCAAGTTAAGGCATCTTGGAAAAGGGTTTCAGGTTTGCAGGATACCACCCAGACCGACGAGGCCGTGGCGCGAGGACGGGGATCCACAGTTCGTCTGCAAGAGCGGGGTGCTGGGGAGGAAGGCGACACTTTTCACGGACACTTGGTGCAGGCGCGCAAAGATAACTTTGGGGATCCCATCACGGTCCAGTGGCGTGGCAAGGTGCACTCTTTCGTGGATGGTTGCGGACTCAACAGCCCTGGCCGTTGGCGGCCGGCCGCCCGTGGTAGAGGGTTCCCTCAGGACACCGAGGCCTTTGTTCAGTCATTGAGGAATCTTCTGGATGGGTTCATACGTTCCGAAATTGGCGATGTACGGCGGGCCTACTTCATGCTGGCATTGGGCAAATATGAGGAAGCGCCGTTCTCCGAGCAGGCCATGGACCGTCTGCGCTCATCGTGGTTTGCACTCCTGGAGGACCCTGCTTCAGCTGCACATCGGGAGCCGGGCCAGCCTTTCTTCCTGGAGGCCCTCTCCCAGACATGTCGGGCTATGGGGGACGAAGACTGGGAGGTTCTCACTCGAGCGGAAGATAACTACGCTCGCGGTCGCCGTCTCGGTGTGGGGCGTCCCTTCGAGCGGGTGGTAGCTGTCTTCAGGCCAAAGGGGAAGTGGCGAGAGTACGATGAGTCCGAGTTCCAGGCCATGAATGAGAACTACGCTTCAGCAAAGGCGGTCCCTGAGCAGTTGGAGAAGCAGTTCGAGGAGGAAGAGGCACTTGGGTTCATGTACCCCTTGTCGGAGAAAGAGGCACGGCGCCGCTTCGGGGATACCTTAAGGGTTGCTAGTCTTGGTGCAATCATCAAGGATGATGGCACTGTGAGGGCACTCTTTGATGGAACACATTCGGTGAAGCTCAATAACTTGATCACGATCGCAGACAAGCTAGAGTTTCCCACGCCGTCGAATGCAGCGAGGGCAACGGAGATCCAGCAGGAGGACGGCAACCATCTCCTCGTGGGGATCGCTGCTGACATTGCTAAGGCACATAGGAGGTACAAGCACGCTCCAGAAGATCATGGCTATCTTGGCTGTAGGGCGAGACCGGAGGGACCCATCTGGATCAACCG